CAACAGACAAAATACCCAGCCTGTGCTGAGACAGCCGTTTAGCCCGCCACGTCTTACCTAGTTTCTCAAATATTTCAGAGAACACATAGATATTTGCCTAGAAAGAGACCAAATTCCTACAAGACTTCTCAGGGTCGCCTTGTTCCCAACCCTGAACGTAAACCCCAACCCGATCGAGGCTGGCGGCTACGGCAACGACTTGCAAGGTCTGGCCTTCGTCACGTTCGACACGAGCGCTGCGACGGCCAACGGCGCGACGTCGCGCATCTTTGTCGGAACGGCTGACAAGACGGCCGAATCTGTATACGTCTCCGAAGATGCTGGCGCTACCTGGACCGCCATCGCCGGCCAGCCCACCGGCTTCCTTCCTCACAAGGGCAGGGTTGAGCCCAAGGAAGGCGCCTTGTACCTAACCTATAGCGACGGCAGCGGCCCTTACGATGGCGCCAAGGGCGCCGTGTACCGCTATGACATTGCAAAGGCCACCTGGGCTGACATCACTCCCGTCACTGGTGAGGACCTTACCTGGGGATATGGTGGTCTGGCCCTGGACAGCCAAACCCCAGGCACTCTGGTTGTTGCGTCCCTGAACTCCTGGTGGCCCGATGCGCGGCTCTTCCGCTCCACCGATTCCGGTGCGACGTGGTCCCAAATCTGGACGTGGGCCAATTACCCAGAAATCAACGCCAAATACAAGATTGACACTCCCAAGGCGCCCTGGATCAACCATGACTTTATCGCAGTTGACTCCAAGAAGCTTGGCTGGATGATTGAGTCGCTAGAGATTAACCCCTTCGATAGCGACCACTGGCTGTACGGCACAGGCCTGACCGTCTTTGGTGGACACGACCTCACCAACTGGGACTCGAACTCCACGGTCAACATTGAGTCTCTCGCCGACGGCATTGAGGAATTTGCTGTTCTCGACTTGGCTTCGGCGCCCGGCGGCAGTGAGCTTTTTGCTGGTGTCCACGACGACAGCGGTTTCACCTTTAAGAGTAAGGCCGACCTCAACACGTCTCCCAAGACGGCGTGGAACACACCTATGTTTGTTGGCTCGAGCGGCGTGGACTATGCTGGTAACTCGGTGTCCAAGGTTGTCCGCGTCGGCAATGTTGAGGGCAGTGCCCAGCTGGCCACGTCATCCGACGGCGGTGTCACTTGGGGTCTTCATCCCGCCAACGGTAGCACCCAGGCTGGCGGCTCCGTTTCTCTGTCGGCCGACGGCACGACCATTCTATGGTCCACCTCCGGCGTCGGTGTCCAGCGGTCGACTGACCAGGGCCCACTATCCCGCGTCTCGAGCCTGGCAGCCGGCTCCGTGATTGCCAGCGATAAGAGCAATGATGATGTGTTCTATGCTGGCTCGGACGCCTTTTACGTCTCCACCGATGGCGGTGCTACCTTTGCCAAGGGAGGTGCACTCCAGGGTGCCAACTCGGTTCGCTCCATTGCCGCCCATCCGACCGAGGCCGGCGACGTGTGGGCCTCGACCAATGTCGGCATATTCCACAGCACCGACTCTGGAAAGACGTTCACCCTGATCTCCACCGAAGTCACGAACACGTGGCAGGTATCCCTTGGTGTGGGAGCCAACGGATGGAATGTCTACACATTTGGCGACGGCGCCGATGGGCCCAAGTTGTACGGCAGCGGCGACGGCGGTGCTACCTGGACCGACCTTCAGGGCGAGATCGGCTTTGGCGCCGTCGATGGCGCCAGGATTGCCGGCAGCGGCAACGAGGCAGGCCTGGTGTATGTTGGCACCAACGGTCGTGGTGTTTTCTACGGCCAGGGCAACTTGTAGGCTGAACTGGAGAAAGCGATTCTTGTATATACTTTGACTTTAGTGATACTTATCTTTCTTTCTGCCCCCAGCTCGCGTGAACATCAACTGGTAGTGAAGGGGTCTCTGTTGTAATGCTGACTGCCGGACGTCTTAGCAATGATGTGGTCGACACGCCGCGAGTATTGAGGAGAGATAAAACTCGACAAGCTCCGAGGGCTCAATCACGGGACTGCAGTACTGCAGCGAGAGGAATGTAAGGCATCGCGAATCATCCAGGTCAATTAAGCTATGCACCTCTGCAGGTCATCTCTACGGCTTCACAATCTGCAGGTGATCCTGCCCCAGATCCGTGAAGAAACTGGCGCCCTTGACCTGCTTTGGCGTCGCCGGGTCCGTGGCATTGCAGAGCTTGGCAAAGTCGCCGTTCTTCTCGAGCGCGTCGGCCACGAACCTGGCGTACCTCCCGACGGCGCACGACTT